AGTGATGTTGTGAATGCTCTACATTGTGTTCAGATAAAAGTGTTCCTGATAAGTTCCAGAAGTGTTCACTCATTTCAGGATGACAACAATTTTATACTTCGATAGATATATTGCTTCGTCTCGTAGTTGGATCATCGGCTCTGTTAAATGTGTGGTGTTTATGGTAGAATGTTTAACACGTAGGATGTCGCGACCAATATTATTCATGATCAACGTTTTCGGGTTTAGATCGCGTTATTAATAAATGTGTCGTAACCCTTCACCACCCGACACGGCCGATCAGTAAAAACGTGTCACGTTGACAAAAGATAAATAGTTCACTGCTTTAGTCCACCGGTGTGTTGAAGCGTGAAACCACAACATTTACAATTTGAGTACGACGTTTCGCTGGTAATTGCATCCAGCATCATCGGGCAATTCGCCAGAATGGTGAGGCTCTGCTGTGTCTCCCGTTCTGATATGGTAGAAGTTGCCATACGTTGTCATCTTCTCACAGCTACTGATCTGGGTGTGCTGTCTTGTTTTAGGATTTGCCCATTCCTGTTATTAATTGTGTCGTGGTGTTTGTGTTGAATTCCGCGTCTTGAGTGTTGAGGTTTATTCTAGACTTCGTCACGTTAAGGTGGTGCTTTATCGTCCGATCGGATTACTTGTTGATGTGGTGTGATGTGCAGTGGTTGTGAGGTGGTTCAATTCCTGATTTTACTCTCGTGGTTAAGTGGTCTTGTTGAGCTAAAGTTGGAGAAAGTCTGTGATCACAACTTTGCTCAATATTTTAAACATGTTCATTAATTTTCATCATTGTGTAATAAATTAATTCACTTCAAATAATAGGTTTCAGAGTGTGTGTGGATTGCACGTTCGTTGTTCCTGTGTTTGATGGCTTGGGCTTCTGGACGAATGGCTTCAGTGGAAAAGGACGTCAAAGGGGAAATCGACGTTTACGTTTTTGATTTTAAGAATCTGTTTTAACTGGGAAATAGCATGCGTATTAATACAGATTTCGATACGAGTATTAACGTGAGTTTTCTTGCAGATTAATAAGGACCTGTTTTTAAACATGACTGATCGTACGTTATTGCTACCATATTTCTAATTAAAAAAACACAGACGAGTAGACATACACACACGAGTGTGCATCCAAACACGACTGTATATACAGCGGTGTGCATTCACACACGAGTGTGCATGTGTTTCTATGAGTTTTAACGTTAATATACTTGAAGAACAATAAATACCTGCTATGTTAAAGATGATCGTCCCTTATTGCTACGTGACAACCCTTACTAGTTGGCTTTGTCGGGTGGTGGCGGGTTTCAAATACACATTTGTATATTTAAGCGATCTAACCCAAAACACCTTTAATATGGACATTATAATAAACCACGCTTACAAGCTAAACCATTCAGATGATCATTTAAAGTTGATGGCAGAAATTATAATATAAAACACTCATTTTCTAGAAGCACCCCGCTCAACACGATTGTCCTTAAATATAATTATGAAACAAAGTCAGTAGAGTATAAACTTGCACATTTTATTCCAAATCAAGCTCGAAATCACCAATTTTGATACTTCAGACTGTATGTCGCTTTATAATCCTCTAAACTTGCAGCAGTTTAGAGGACATTGGGGGGTGAATATTAGAAAATTAACACGAAGCACGGAATTATGCATGGAGATGCACATCCTTATTCAAACGGAGGTTTACAATTATGCAGTGATATGTATTATGTGGCTAGATATGCAGATTGTTAATGTAAAAATTAACAATTGAATGCAAAGTCCATGATAGGCCAAGTTGAGAATAAAGGATTTGAATGCGAGAGCGAAGTTATAAGGGGCTTAAAATCAGACCTCAAGGTTATTTCGAGAGGGATTTTGCTGAGGATAGACGCTCGACTCCTCGCTCTGCAGATAAACCTTCTTCCACGAGACCCAGCCTGGTGAGCACGATTGCTTGGCGACTGGTTGGCGACTTCGCTTCGGGAGAATTCGTGGTGATCTCTTCAGACGGGTTCCAGGGTCATCGATACGCCGTGCATCAACACTTACGAGACGTTACTGTGTCTCAGTTAGACGTTGGTAAGAATTTGCATATTGGCGATTTGAGCCAGACATCCACACAGCTTAGAGTTTGCCTTTAATAATCAACAACACCCGCGACTGTTACTCTGCTCTGAAGAATCAGTCACATGGAGCAGAACAACTCTCCGCAGCGCCACGCACACACGGGTGAGCAGCCTTTCAATTGCTCCGTGTGTGGGAAGGCGTTTTCGCGGAAATCAACTCTTAACAGACACCAGAAAACACATACGGGCGAGAAGCCATTCCATTGTTCTGTGTGTGGGAAGGCATTTGCATGGAAAACAATTCTTCAAAGTCACCAAAAAACACACACGGGCGAGAAGCCATTCAATTGCTCTGTGTGTGGGAAGGCATTTGCAGATTCATCAACTCTTCGCAATCACCAGAAAACACACTCAGGTGAGAAGCCATTCAATTGCTCTGTGTGTGGGAAGTCATTTGCAGATTCATCAACTCTTCGCAATCACCAAAAAACACACACGGGTGAGAAGCCATTCAATTGCTCTGTGTGAAGGCATTTGCCCGTAAAGCAGATCTTCACACTCACCAAAAAACACACACGGGCGAGAAGGCGTTCAATTGCTCTCTGTGTGGGAAGCCATTTTCACGGAAATCAAATCTTCATCGTCACCAGAAAACACACACGGGCGAGAAGCCATTCAATTGTTCTCCGTTGGAGAGGACACGGTCATCACCCCGAAACAAGCATGAGAAGATCCGCAATGAAAGTGAAATCAAAAGGAGAAATACAGAGTGCTGCAATGAGTCCTAAAAAAATGCATCTTTCGAACCTATGCAGGTGGATCCTGAGAGATGCGTGGATGTAGTGGATGTACTGAGCCCTGACGACAATTCCTATTTCGACCCCATGCAGGTTGATAATGAGAAATGGCTGCTGGAGTGGCTGGATAATCAAAGTATTGAGTACTTCCTGTAAAGTCCTGGAATGTGCACGTTTGTGTCTCTGTTAGATCAATTTATCAGGTGCAATTGATTATATCAGTGATTTCCAGCACTACAAACTGGTGTAATTCTTTTAACAAAACCGTTTGATTGCTCTGTGTTTTGGAAGCATTTTCACGGTCAGCAACACTTCACAGGCATCATCAAACAAAGAGTAAAAATGTTGTCATGAGTCCTCAACGAAATTCCTCTTTCGACCCCATGCAGTTGCATCCTGATAGATGGCTTGATATAGTGGAGTGGCTGGAGAGTCATATTCGTGTCGCTTATATATATTTTTCGGTGATTTCTAGGACTTCAAGCTAGAGTGATGTTGTGAATACTCTATAATGTGTTCAGATGAATGTCTTCCTTTAAAGTTCCAGAAGTGTTCACTTATTTCAGAATGACAACAATTTTATACTTTGGACGAATGGCTTCAGTCGAAAAGGACGTCAAAGGGGAAATCGACGTTTACGTGTTTGATTTCAAGAATATCTTTTAACTGTTAAATTCCTATTGGGAAATAATTTGCCTATTTCCTTTCCTGTTTGAGCCTGCGTATTAATAAAGATTTCGATACGAGTATTAACGTGAGTTTTCTTGCAGATTAATAAAGACCTGATTTGTTTTTAAAAATGACTAATCGTACGTTATTGCTACCATAGTTTTCCTTTAAAAAAAACACGGACGAGTAGACATACACACACGAGTGTGCATCCAAACACGACTGTATATACAGCGTTGTACATTCACACACGAGTGTGCATGTGTTTCTACGAGTTTTAACGTTAATATACTTGCAGAACAATAAAGACCTGCTATGTTAAAGATGACTGATCGTCCCTTATTGTTACAATGTTCATAACGAACACGTGTGGAGGCAAGTTTCAGGTGAAGCATCTCCATCACACAAGTTTACCCTTACCTGGCAGCATCGTGGCAGTTCGCTGGTCACACTCACTACGTTACACTCACGAGCTGTAGGGGCGGGGCTCTGTCTGCTCAGTGGCGCTGTTTTCATTCATTTAGCACCACGAGCGGGGAGTCTCATCCCTGTAGTTCCCTGTTGAGGTGGCGCATTCCTACCACGTTTCCCCTAAATTATTTGTACGACACAATATAAAAACAATTTGTTTGTTCCAATGCATAATCATACACGAGTACACATATACACTCCCATGTACACACACCCACACACGAGTGGACATACACAAAAGTACAGATCCATGTACATACAAACAGTAGTATACTTGTGTAATGCGGGCATAAACGGCCTCGCGGATATGACGTCACGGGGGGAGGAGTTAGGTCACGTGAGAGAGAGGGATGAGGTCTTAAGGGAGAGATACCGGAAGAAACGGGAGAGTGTTGGGAATAGAGACAGAGTGAGGCCACACAGTGCGGAGGTTGGAGAGTGGCGAGATCGCCACACACAGTAAGACTCGGCACCGTCGGCCAGCGGTGACGAGCACGGGGGAACAGGGAGCAGCGGTGGAGCTGCAGTGAGAGCAGCCGGAGGACTGCACAGCGGAGCTGCAGGAGCGCGAAAGGCTACGTGAGCGAAGGCAGCTGTCGAGCTGCTAAGCGGGGAGGCTCTGAGCGAGGGCCGTGTGGGACAAGTGTAAAGAACCCAAATAAAGGACAACGGAGACAGACCCAGTGAACGAGTCCTTTATTACACTTGCAAGCAATTCAACGTTATGTTGTGTCATCATGGGTTTATTTCACAAAGTTTAAAGTGCCAGCAACAACAATGGTATTGAACCTTATTCTTTACAGGAGTGGCTCTGGGTGGACATGCCACCACAAAGCAGCACGCGGCGGAGGAGGGAGGTGATCGCTCTCGCCACGCGAGCAAGGCCCCCTCGCTTCCTCTTCTTTCCCTGCATCACCACCTCCACCACCTGCACCTCCTCCACCTCCTGCTTTGTCTCGTCCTCCATCTCCTCCTCTTCATCCTCCACCACCATCTTCTCTCCATTCTCTGTCTTCTCCATTCCCTCCTCCTGTTCCTCCTCAACCTCTTCCTCCACCTTCTCCTCTTCCTGTTCCACCTCTATCTTCTTATCCATCTTCTCTGCTTGGAAGCCCTCTTCTCCAAAGCTTGGAGCAATCGGGCCCTGTACAGGAGTGTCAGAGGTGGATGCGGTGGCGGTGGTGGTTGCAGCGGTGGTGGTGGTGGCGGCGGTGGTAGTGGTGGCGGCGGCGGTGTCGGTGGCGGCGGTGGTGGCGGTGGTGGTGGCGGCGGTGGTGGCGGCGGTGGTGGTTACTGCGGTGGTGGTGGTGGCGGCGGTGGTGGTGATGGCAGTGGTGGAGGATGGCAGTGGTGGCGGAGGGTTTTGTGGCAGTGGCGGCAACAACGTCAGTGGCAGTGGTGGCGGTGGATGCGGTGGCGGCAGTTGTGGCGTTGGCGGTGGTGGCTGTGGTGGCGGTGGTGACGGCGGTCGTGGCGGTGGTGGCGGTGGTGGTGGCGGCGGGTTTTGTGGCAGTGGCGGCAACAGCATCAGTGGCAGTGGGGGTGGTGGTGGCGGTGGTGGTGGCAGTGGTGGCAGTGGTGGTGGTGGCGGTGGTGGTGGCAGGGGTGGGGGTGGAGTTGCCGGCGGTAGCGGTGGTGGTGATGGTTGCAATGCTGGCAAGGCGCTGCTCCTGCTCAAGGCGCTTCTCCTCCTCGACGCGTTTCACGTTGGCGAGACACTTCTCCTCCTCCTCCAGATTCTTCTCCTCAGGACACATCATCTCGAGATGATGCTTCTCATCAATGAAGTACTTCACTTGAATGAGGCGCTTCTTGAGGAGATAGTCTCGGAAGTACTTCTCATCTGTGCGGCACTTCGCCCTGGCAATGCGCTGCACCTCAAAGAGGCGCTCCTCTTCCATGGTGCATCTTTCTTTGCTAAGGTTCTTTTCCTGGAGATGCTTCATCCCGCTGACGTCCTTCAACTCCCCAATTATCCTCTGATCAAGCAAAGATAAGCAAAAGAACATTCAGACATGCACATGCAAGAAAACATTCATACCCACAGGCACGCAAACGTGGACGTGCACATAAACCCAAACAAAAAAACATACTCACACATGTATGTACAGATGCAGCCATCCACATTCAGTCATTCAAACTTGCTTAGTACACACTTGAATATACACTATCACCTGCTGTTAACACAATGCCTTATCCATCAATACTTGTATCACATTGTACGTGTAGTACTAACCCCTAAATATCCCAACTCCTATAGAATGAAAATACATGTCACATCCTCATATATCCCCATAAACCCCATGCATGCACTCAAGACTTTGCTCGATTGTGGCGGTTTCATAGCAATTGTTGGCAATAATCATCACTGGCAATAGTTTTCACAGAATGTCCCATTATAAATATCTGGAAGCCCAAACTCTGGACAAACTTCACTGCAGCGCCCATAGTTTGGAACTGGAATGGTAACTTCCAATCAAATCACAGACATAATTAATGTGACTGCCTGATATCATTCTGTCTTCATTGGTAATAAATGGCCACTTCAAGTGCCTGCATGAGCGGGACGGTGAAGAGATGCGGTGATGGTGTCGGGACATGGTGTTGCGATATGGAGAGGAGAAGTAGTGGAATGTTCTAGAGAGATGGTGTATTGTGATGGTATAGAGGCATGATGAGGCTCTAATATGGTGTATTGAATTGGTGGTCGTGTAGTGTGATGAGAAGGTGATGGGGAGAGTTGGTGTCGTGATATTTTGGTGTGCTGGTGAGGTGACATGGTGTGCTCGTTGTCGAGAGAATGTCGTGTGTTTTAACCCCACAGACCCCATACACATCGTGCTCTCTTTTAGCCCCGCCCCCCCTCCCAATACGTTCCATTCATTGGCTACCACATTCTGATAAGCTCCTCCCCCCTCCTCCCTCCTTAACTTGTATTTAAGAACTTGCATCTTGGAATCCCTGCCTCACTTGATACAGCAAATTCAGCTTTGACGGTTTCATACCTGGGACGGAGACTTGTGTTGCCTCCGAAACGTCGTGATTTTTATTATTTTATTTTTATTAATTTTTATTTCATTTTATACCTACGTGACTTTACCGAAATAACTAAGAGTATGAATCCTTGCAGTCACGAAAGCTTCAAATCTAGAACCCATACACACCTTTGGGGAGCGATTCTTGTAACTTTGGCCTGGGAAAGGGTCCACCTTATCCATAACGTCCCCCCACGTGGTCGACTGGCACGCCGACTCCCGGGCTATGAAGAACAGAAAATGCATTCAAAGGACGAGTATTGAATTAGAGAACGAAGGACATGGAGTCTCACAGAACTAATTTTGAGATGCCAGTAATTACCGCTTACCACACAACAGGACCTGCTATTGAAAAATAGTCATCACATGGCAGTAAAACTTTACAAGTCATGTTTTTGTCGGCAATCTCAATTTTGGAGCTTTCGTGACTGGAGGAATTATTCTTTGGTTCTTTAGGTTAAGTCACGTATAAAGATAAAATAATAAATTAAATAATAGCATACTACGACGTTTCGATTGCAACACAAGCAATCATCATCAGGTATAAAATAAATAGCAACAAAAATCTAACCAGAAAACTATAGACAGACACACAAGCAGACAGACATCACAAAGACACGCAGAGAGAGAACACGTATTGGCAGAAAGAGAGAGGTCGTCTCTGTGACGAGGCCTTAAATATACAGAGGGGGCGGGGGCGGAGAGATCGTAAATTACATAAGCTTGAGACCCCAGTTTGAACAAAGATGGCAACAACTCAAATATAAACCCATCCTCTTTGCCACACTCGATCATTACGTCTTCCCATTACCACCAAGCCATGTCTACGAAAAGTAATTCATCAAGGAGTCTCCTCCTCCGCATATAATCCATGTGATGCAGGTATCTGGGACTTACCCTCATATTCATCCAAGATCTCAGCCCACGTGATTTGTCTGTCCATGTTGTTGGGAACGAGTAGATTTTGTTTGAAGTTGGATGGCCTGGAGAGGTTGGAACAACGCTCAGATTTAGCAAACTTTTGAATCACTCATCCTCCTAATTAATACATATTTGACCACTCATTGTATCAATCCAATCACTATCGTGACTATACTCTTAGGTTTTTATCGGTAAAGTCACGTAGGTAAAAATAGATAAATAATACAAATAATTAATGATAAAAATAGAAATAATAATAGAAATAAAATAATATATCACGACGTTTCTGAGGCAACACAAGCTTCCTTCATCAGGTGTGAAAAGGCACAGCAAAATAACTGTAGTTAGGTGTAAAAAGGCAAAATAACTACAGTTATGTTACAGTTATTCTACAGTTATTTTGCTGTGCCTTTTTACACCTGATGAAGGAAGCTTGTGTTGCCTCCGAAACGTCGTGAGTTATTCTTTTTTATTCATATTATTATAAATATTGTAAAAGCTAATTTTTTTTCCCTACGTGACTTTACCGAAAAAAAACCTAAGAGTATGAATCCTTGCAGTCACGAAAGCTTCAAAACTAAAACACTATCGTGACTTTTGTTGTTGCTGCTAATCCTACATAATGCAATGGCATAATATGACTTTGAGACCCCCCCCCCCCACCTCCTACGCATTTCACAAGTAGTGACTAATCCCATATATACATTTTCCATAAATATGCTAAATTCATCTGTTGATATGCAAATACCTTTGTCAAGGCGCCCTTCCCACTCTAACCCAGCTTAAATATACGCTGCCAAGCTTGGTGGTGTTCATTCAGACGCTGTCTTTTCGACAGCCCTATTCTTCACCTGAGGACGGCTGCTTGCGTTGTGGCCGAAACGTCGTGAGCATTGTATTTTATTATGTTTTATTTTTATCATTTTATTATTTTCTTTCTACGTGACTTTACCGATAGAATCAAGAAGACTATCGTGACTGTTGCTTTAAAAGCCCACTCACTCGCTTGTTTTCCCACTCATGTGTGCGCCCGATCACTCACTCATCCACCCACACGAACATGTTTATTCCAACTGCCTATTCCATTAAACATAATCACCAGACTTAACAATGATATTTCACCTCTAATCCCGACATGCATGTTCATGTACAGCCCATTTGTATTAATCGACTGCTTGATAGAGGACCCATATGCCTTGTGGGTCATTAGGGTCATATGACCATACTTTAATTATTTGTTATAATACGAGCATGACGTCGTAGGTCACTTGATGTCAGAGGTACCACCCATGTGGCTGTGACATCACAGATTGGAGGCAACTATGGCAGTGGCTAGGGTCTGAACTTAAAGGCAGACTCCTCCTCATATGTTGAATAACATTCAATACATGTAATGTAGGGCACAATTGTACCAGCAATCAGAACACAATAATTGTATACATGTTATTAATATTCTATGAGATTTAAACGGATTAGTTAAGCTTGTTTTAAATGCTGACTCGCTTGGGGTCTAAACAACGACAGTAACAGCAACATTTCAGAGAATGCCAAGTATCCTATCTAACAGTTCTAATTAGAATTTTTAATTAAAGCTTTCGTGACTGCAGGGATTCATATTCTTGGTTCTTTCAGTGAAGTCACATAGAAGGGAAACAATAAAATAATAAAAATATAAAACAATAAAATTATCACGACGTTTCGACTGCAACACAAGCAATCGTCATCAGGTGTGAAATCCACAGCAAGAAAATTTGAAAAAAGTGGCGTTTTTTTCTAATTTGATTGCTGAAAATTGAATTATGAACATATAAAAGTAATGAAGCTTTAGTTTGTGGTCGAAATGTAAAATCAACAGGGTCGCTCACCTCGTTGAGGATTCGCTCTCAAAAGGCTTCTTCTGCTGCTCCCTCGTGTGCATTCCTCTCGACTGTGGGTGGAGGCGTGGCTGTGACGTAACAGAGGTGACGTCACTAGGGCGAGGCTCCGCCCCCCACGATCCCGGCTGGCGCATCACGTGGTGCAGTGCTGGTTGTGCGCGGGACCGGAAACAGCAGGGCTTGGGTTCGACTTCAGACTCCGTGGTCTACACAGCGAGGGTGAGTGAATGGGTGAGTGGGTGAGAGATTGAGTGAGTGGGTGAGAGGGTGGGTGAGTGAGTGAATGGGTGAGTGGGTGAGAGATTAGGTGAGTGGGTGAGAGATTAGGTGAGTGGGTGAGAGATTGAGTGAGTGGGTGCGTGGGTGGGTGAGAGATTGAGTGAATGGGTGAGTGGGTGGGTGAGTGGGTGAGTGAGTGAGTGGGTGAGTGAGTGGGTGGGTGGGTGAGTGGGTGAGTGAATGGGTGAGTGGGTGAGAGAGTGAGTGAGTGGGTGGTGAGTGAATGGGTGAGTGGGTGAGTGAATGGGTGAGTGGGTGAGTGAGTGGGTGAGTGAATGGGTGAGTGAATGGGTGAGTGGGTGAGTGAGTGGGTGAGTGAATGGGTGAGTGGGTGAGTGAATGGGTGAGTGGGTGGGTGAGTGAATGGGTGAGTGGGTGAGTGAATGGGTGAGTGGGTGAGTGAGTGGGTGAGTGAATGGGTGAGTGGGTGAGTGAATGGGTGAGTGGGTGGGTGAGAGATTGAGTGTGTGGGTGAGAGATTGAGTGAGTGATTAGGTGAGAGAGTGAGTGAGTGGGTGGGTGAGTGGGTGAGAGATTGAGTGAGTGGGTGAGTGGGTGAGTGAGTGGGTGGGTGAGTGGGTGAGTGAATGGGTGGGTGAGTGGGTGGGTGAGTGGGTGAGTGAGTGGGTGAGTGGGTGAGAGATTAGCGAGTGGGTGAGTGGGTGAGAGATTGAGTGAGTGGGTGAGAGATTGATTGAGTGGGTGTGAGTGAATAAGTGTGTGTGAGATTGAGTGCGTTAGAGCTTGAGTGAGTGTGGCAGAGTGAGTCAGTGAGTGTGATAGAATGAGACAGTGAGTTAGTGAGAGACAGTGAGTTAGTGAGAGACAGTGAGTTAGTGAGAGACAGTGAGTTAGTGAGAGACAGTGAGTTAGTGAGAGACAGTGAGTTAGTGAGAGACAGTGAGTTAGTGAGAGTTAGTGAGAGACAGTGACTTAGTGAGAGACAGTGACTTAGTGAGAGACAGTGAGTTAGTGATAGACATTGAGTTAGTGAGAAAGAGAGAGTGTGGCAGAGTGTGTGGCAGAGTGAGAGTGTGCAGTTCGTGTTTTGTCGAGAAAGTGTGGCGAGTGTGTGTGCGTTGTGTAGCTGTGTTTACATCGTGTACGTAGTGTTTGTAGTCTCTAATCAGTCTAAATTACGCTACAGAAATTCAACATTTGCACCCTTGCTTTGTGCTCTTTGATGTCGCCATTCCTGCGACGAGGACAGAAGGGAGGCCTGGCCGTTAGGCCTGCCATACACCTCGGCCTCAGGCTTCATATTCATTATTTTTTATGTTTGTATAATTTGAATTATGAACTTGTATTCCATTCATTAAATTGCAAGCGTATAAACACCATCTTGTTGGTTTATTTACTATTAAATTAATGGTTTTCTTAATCTATGTAGTTATGTTTAAGTGAGTGAGGTGGTAGTACTAAGTGTGAATTTGAGTTACATGTAAATTATTGTGCAATGGATTTGTCTGTGTGCACCTAGCCTGGCACGGACAATATGGACTATGTTATTATTAAGTCGTGAAAGAGATTGTTTATTTGTGTGTCTGTTATGTTTGTGTCAATTTACATATCTATATTTATAGCTGTGTTAATTTGATGGGTGGTGGTGATGGATAGGTGCGAGTTTTAACTTTAAAATGCTTGCAGATTAATAAAGATCTGCTTTGTTTTTAAAGATGACTGATCATACGTTATTGCAACCATATCCTTCCTTTAAAAAACACGGACGAGGAGACATTCACACACGAGTGTGCATGTGTTTCTACGAGTTTTAACGTTAATATACTTGCAGAACAATAAAGACCTGATATGTTAAAGATGACTGATCGTCCCTTATTGCTACAATGTTCATAGCGAACACGTGTGGAGGCGAGTTTCAGGTGAAGCATCTCCATCACACAAGTTTACCCTTACCTGGCAGCATCGTGGCAGTCCGCTGGTCACACTCACTACGTCACACTCACGAGCTGTAGGGGCGGGGCTCTGTCTGCTCAGTGGCGCTGTTTTCATTCATTTAGCACCACGAGCGGGGAGTCGCATCCCTGTAGTTCCCTGTTGTGGTGCCGCATTCATTACCACGTTGCCCTCAATTCTTTGTACGACACAAAATTATAACAATACACGAGTATACACTCCCATGTACACACACCCACACACGAGTGGGCATGCGCAGTGGTGTAGATACATACACAAATGTGCATTCACACCGCTTTGTACATACACACACGATGCCCTGAATTACGTTATACTTTTGAAAAAAAACGCATTCAATTCTAATTCCTTCTGTTTCCACCCCAAAAGCTTGGAATTATTAATAATATTTTAAATAGTGGCCCCATGTTTAATGAGTGTAGTGAAGACATTAGTTTAGTTTATTTAATTCCATTTGTTTGCATTTGCTACGGCACACTGTTTGAGATTATTCTTCCCATTTATGAAATCTCTCTAGAATCATTTACATTTCTTCATAAACTTCCTTGCATTCAGTTATTCTCGCATGTAACGCTCCTCATATCTAACAAACCTAATCTCATGTGGCCATTGTGCTTAAGCCGAAGTAGGATTTTGCACATTTCCAATGGCCTGTAAACTGTGATCAAGTTATCGGCCTTACCTGTGAAATACAGTATAATATATTGTTGATCGAGATATACTTATACGAAGAGGTGCATGTTTCATATCGTGTTGATGTGGTTTTATGAATATGTTTAAGGACCTTTGTTGATCAGGGTGTGTCTAGACAACGAAGGTGAATTGTTATATTCGATCAATTAAAATTGTTACAATTGCCGTGGATACCCATCTGGATGGTATCGTTTGTAAGCGTTGTTTATTATATTGTAACGCAGCCATGATCGCATTTCAGTCTATAGCAGAAAGTCTCGTGTGTATTTAGACCTTTGTGT